AAGCTGCTACTATACCAGATATGGATAATCTTCTACTGAGAGCAATGTTTATCCATAACGGATAAGCTTATCCTTTCAAGTACTCCGTTATGGATAAACATTGCTCTCAGTAGAAGATTATCCATATCTTGTATAGTAGCAGCTTACAGAGCAGCTTCCTTTCTTCTATAAATAGAAGAGATTTCAATTCATTATGTACATCAGTTTGAATTCGAATAATATATCAGTTTCTCTCTATACTTGTCTTTACTTTATAGTCTTTATTTTATAACAATTACTTATTTTAAAGTGAAATAAGGCAAAGGTACAACTATCTTTTCCATTTATATGTTAAAAACAAATAAAAGAAAAGGTACAACTAGGACTAGCAGCATCCCTGATTTTCCAAGGCTGCAATTTCCATGCTTCTTCCTATAATAACCAAATTCCAAAACTCTATACCAAGTTACTCTCTCTCACACACACACACACACACACACACACACGGAGCAAATCATGGCAGTTGGAAGAAAGGAAGAAAATATGGGAGTGGAGATAGTGAAACCGCGAACTGACAAAAGGGATTACAGAAGAATTGTTCTTCAAAATAATCTTGAAATCCTTCTCATAAGTGACCCAGAAACTGATAAAGTATGTTACTTTTATTCATTTTATATTATATTTTTCTATGTTTCTTAAATATGGGTTTAGCTTGAATTTATTTGGTTTCATTAAAAGCGTATTAATTTCATGTTTTGTTTTGTTTTGTTTTGGGGGTATTTGTTATCAGTGTGCAGCTTCAATGAATGTGTGTGTTGGTGCTTTTAGCGATCCCGAGGGACTTGAAGGGCTTGCCCATTTTCTCGGTATGAATTTTTTTTGGGGCAAAAAAGTTCATTCTTTATGTGCTTAATTGGGTCTATTGTTTTGCCTTATTTTTAGCCTTAAATTTGAGTAAATAAGTTGCTGTACTGTAATTTGATTTAATTTTTGAAATACCATTGGGCACTGTAATCTTCACAGCAATAGAGTTAGACTTGGTTGAGTAGTAGGGGAACCAGGAATTTGAGTAAGGGGAATACAAAAAAAAAAAATGTAAAAAATATCACACCTGCGATATGAACCTATGTCAAGAAGATTCAATAGTTTAGATATATAGTTATAGACAAAAAATTATGTTTTTACCCTTTTTGGACAGTGCAATTTTCTGTCGAGGGGGATTCAGTTGAATCCCCTTCATCAAAGGTAGCTCCGCCCTGTGGTTGAGGTCTTTGAGGATGGAAATCAGGTTTTGAATGCCACAATTTCATTTTCTGAGTCAGTTTCAAGGTTCAGTATTACTAGAGTATGTATTTTGTTCAAAAATGGGTAGGGGATTTTTGAACTGCTAAATTTAGGTTGTAGAAGACTATGTTCCCGATGAAAAATAGTTGAGATACAATGAAATGGTACCAGGAAGTGGAGGAGAACCATGCAGTCTTAGTTTAAAATCCCAGCGGAAGCAAAAAACACTAGGTAATTTCTTCCCATTTGCCAAAGCATTGGTGGCAGTGTTACCGGTACTTGTGTTGGTGCGAGTTAGCAAGTACTCGCTGGAAAGGTGATTTCTTCCCATCTGCCTAAGGTAGTGGGTCTGAGTTACCCGATACTTTGTGCTGGTGGAAGGTAGCAGGTACTCGGTGGAATAGTCGAGGTGCACAAGCTGGCTTGGACACCACCATTATTTTAAAGAAAAAGGAAAAAAAAAGATATGGTTCCAGGAATGCTATACCGATGGTTGGTGGTGGATTAGCCACGTGTTACAGGTGGAGGATCAGTTCTTTGAATCCAGTTGGTCAAGCAAAACATAATAGTTTCTAACGGGATCTATGTAGTTGGATGGATTAGATAAGGTCCAATTTATTAATCTAGTTGCAGGCGATTTGGTTTCATTGTGCTTAAACATTGTCAATCTTTCTATCAGGAAAAAAATATATTTCTTAATTCTTGCGCTAACTTTGATTGTTTTTTCTATGGACTTAAGGATAGTCTTTCATTTAAGAAAATGGTGAATGATGATGAATTGTGTCAATTGAAACAACCTTGCACAATGAATCATCTATATAGAGGATATGTATTAGTAGACTGCTAGGAAGCACTATAACCTTTTTCTATTGGCTTTAGGAACTGCTAAGGGTGTGCTACTGTGCAACTCATATCTTTAATTCTTTCCTTAGAGGTTTCTGTTGCTTTCCTAGAATATTTTGTTGTCTAATGTTTCTCTTTTACTTTTTCATTTGGCCTCTTTTCTTTACATACCAGAGCATATGTTGTTTTATGCAAGTGAGAAGTATCCTGTAGAGGACAGTTATTCGAAGTACATCACAGAGGTAACAACTCTGTAATTCATTGTTTAATAAGTTCCTTTATTGCTTTTGCATGCTCCTTATTTTCCTATTGATTTAACAAAATAGTTGTATTTTACAAGTCATGTTTTTTGTTTCTTGATTAGAATGGAGGTAGTACAAATGCTTTTACATCTTCTGAGGACACCAACTACTATTTTGAAGTAAATGCTGATGGTTTTGAAGAAGCATTGGACAGGTAAATTGTTTAATATCTATGGCTAAGTATCATGTTAATATTTTATTTTGATAAATGTATCATGTTAGTATTTTTAAAGGCTCCACGGCTGAGTTATTTGGTTTATATTTCCAGATTTGCCCAGTTCTTTATCAAACCATTGATGTCATCCGATGCTACCACTCGAGAAATTAAAGCTGTTGATTCTGGTTAGTACATGTGTTTTTATGCATATTATTCTGGTTAGTACATGTGTTTTTATGCTAGCTTTACGTGTTCTAAGTGATTCATCGTCGCATAACTCTTTTGCCAATGCAGAACACCAGAAGAATCTACTCTCTGATGCTTGGAGAATGAACCAGGTATTTGGCTTTTTTTTTTTTTAAAGGATAAACCAGGTATTTGACTATATCTCCTTTTGTTCTTGGAGAAGGCCTGTCCCATTTGCCGACTAAATAAAAGGAAAAAGAAATTTATTCAAGAGAAACAGTAATTAGGAGAAGATATTTTTTAAAAATATATATATTTTAATTTTTATGTGAGAGAATGATGAGGACAACAAGCATACAATGAGATTTTTACTAGGAAGTGTATTCTAAATCATTCACCAACTTTTCCGCTAAATGAAACTGTCTGATTAAATCAAGATTCTTACATAAATTCCAGGAGCCTATGTTATGAATAGTCTTAGTTTTTTTTGGCCCGAAAAAGAAAGAAAAAGAAAAAAGAAGACTTCTTAGTTTTCCCCACCAATGTGATTGACCTTTGTTGCATCAATCAGTTTTTATTTTTTGTTTTTTATGAAGTCAGTAGTTTCATTAGCCCCCAGGGCCTAGCTCAAGTGGCAAAGAGCGGTGGATTTGTATCTTAGGTCACAGGTTCAAGCCCCCACACCATGCAAAGCAAAGCCCGGTATTTAAGTGGAGAAGGGTAGAGGGGCGGGCACATTATCCACCGAGTTTCGAAGGCTACGGTTGGTCCAAAAGATCGGCCCCAGACAGATTTCTCGGTCATCCAAAAAAAAAAAAAAGTCAGTAGTTTCATTAGTGGCTTCAAGAAAATGCAGATGGAACAAAACACATTGAGTGCAAAAGAGAGGTTGACAGCTCCACTACATTGGGCCAATTCAGAGGATAGGGAGTGGTTTGGACTTTCATTTATCTTTTTAAAGCAAATAGTAAGAGTGGTGACTCTTTCAAGTAAAAATAGTCTTCTTGAACATAGAAAAGCTTTAAGGAGTACTACATCTTTTGACAACAATATCGGGAATTTTCAGTATCTAGAGATTAGAAGTCTCATGATGCTAAAGTTGTCTGGATTATTTCTTTTGCAATTGTTTTCTTTGGTGAAAAGGTTTTAACTTTTAAATACTATTCTGTGCAGCTTCAAAAACATCTAAGTGCAAAAAATTATCCATACCATAAGTTCAGCACAGGTTTGCACAGCTTTCAATGGTGCATATTCTTAGATTCTGCTATGGCTTTTCTTATTAAAAAGAGGTTCTATTATGATTATGGCCTTGTCATGTGTTTTTATTATTATATTTATACCATGGTTTTAGTTGTTCAATGTCTGCTTTGTGATTGTCTACTATGATACATGAAGAACTATGACTAGTTTACTATACATTGAACTGTCAGAAAGTTTCTCCTTCATGAAATAAAACTGCAGTTGTTCTCTCTAAGATGGAGAAAAGCACATCATAACGCCACAGAAGCAGTTGATCACAGTTAACACTATTAAATAAAGTGAAGAATCAAGATATAGTTTGCTTTGGCTGAACAAAAGAATAAAATATATCTTCAAGCAGTAGGGTTCCCTTGAAAGCAAATCTTACAGAAAACAGACTAATTCTGGAAGGTGATATATTTCTTGTATTAGTAAAATCAACTTAGTACGGAAGATTATGACTTATGAGCCCTCCTAACTAAATCTATCTTTCTAGAGCTTTCTTTATTTCATATATTCTGATTTTGTCCCTTGTCGACATAGTTGGCCCTTTATTTCTATTCTTCATTTTCCCCCTAATAAGTTATTTTTTCTCGTCTAAAAGATTTCAATCCCCGAAGTTTTTCATAGTCCTCAGCTTCAATGATTTTGGTACCTAGACCCTTCAATTCCTCGGGCGCGATCTCTGCAACAGTAACCCTTCTTTTGTATCCTCATCATCATTCTCTTGGGAACGCTTTGGAGGCCGCTGCTCCATACATGTTCAGCTTCAGATCCCCTCTTACATCCTTGGTGCCGATAGATCTCTGCGCAAATTTTTTGATCTTCTTGATGGCTGTAGGGGCCTTCTTCTTGAATCTGCAGCCATGCAAGTGCTTTTGCCTTCTTTGTGAACACTTAGAATAGAATCAGCTGATTTTCTGTTCAAGTTGTTTCCTCTTCACCCTTGGACATTTTTTAGTGTTTCAACCTTACTTCTTGAATTGCTAGATTTCAGAGTTTAGTCTGAGGATTTCCTTTTAGCTTTTTTTTTTTTTTTTTTTTTTTTTTTTTTTTTTTTTTTTTTTTTTTTATTTATAAAATCATTGCCTTGAAATTCAGTTTTGAGTTAAGCATACTGGATTCTTTTTATATGCTCATATCACAGAAGATTTTTCTGCTGACATAAAAAAATGACCATATTATAGTTTTATTTATCCCAAGAAAAAGAAATGATCGCATCACTCATCATGTGCATAGGCAGCTGGGATACATTAGAAGTGAGGCCAAAAGAAAGAGGCATAGATACAAGACAGGAGCTTCTTAAATTTTATTCAGAAAATTATTCAGCCAACCTCATGCACTTGGTCGTCTATTCAAAAGGTATGGATAATTATTTGCAAATACATTACTGGTGGCCCAAATTAACAACTGCTAAGTCTGTATAATTATAATTCAGATAGTCTTGATAAAGCTGAGCAGCTAGTACGGAGCAAATTTCAGGATATCCCAAACATTGATCGCAATCAAATTCGTTTTACTGGTCAGCCTTGCACCACAGAACATCTCCAGGTATCCAAGTGACAACGCGCAGATGTGTTACCTTTCTTTTTCTTTTTTTACTGGGGTGGTTTTGAACTGGCTTCTTTCAATTGAGCTGTTGAATTCGACAAGTGATCTGTTCATGACGTCTATTGTCTGAATCTACTTGTTCAACGTGCTTAAGATATAACTCATTTTTTACTATCAAAAAGAAAAAAGAAGAAGATATAACTCATTTTTATTGAACTGGAGTGCCAAAACCAAAGCTCTTCCTCAGCTAAATTGGCCTTAGTGCTGTTTTGACATTAATGAAATGCCTTTTACTGATTAAAAAAAAACTTACTTTTTCTGCAATATTTGGAGTACTATGAGACTCTAATTAGTATACACGTGGGTGCTCCTTATAGAGTCATATTTGTGTACCTCTGTCTTTTGCATATGCCTTGTATATTTTGTTTTTCCTTTAGTAAGTTTTACATATTAATTTCCTATTCATTTATAGAAATAGACAACTTATTTGATAACATTCAAAAAATAACTAAAAATTCAGTTAAATAATTTAGAGATTTGAAGGCCATTTAGCGAGTGCCATGTTCTGCAGATTATCAAACTGAATTTACTGTTTCATTGTCCATTTAATATTTCTATTTTGTTACGTTTTTTTCTCAGATTCTTGTGCGAGCTGTTCCAATAAAACAAGGTCACAAGTTGAAAATTGTATGGCCAGTTACCCCAGGGATACGTCACTACAAGGAAGGGCCTAGTAGGTACTTGGGTCACTTGATTGGCCATGAAGGAGAAGGATCGTTGTTTTATATCTTGAAAAAGTTAGGTGAGTTCTCAACTAATTAATTGTACGCCCTTCATCTATCCTATCCTTACTCATTCATTTCTTGGCTTCAACTCACCCTTCCCCATTTTTTTTAATTTAGAAAGAGAAATGACAAATCATAGGCAAAAACTTGTTGTGTCCTTTTCTTTTGACTGTAAAAGATGTTCTTATTTTTAGGAATCTGAAACAGTACTCTTGAGGATGAATCTCTTCGGTCCTAGGAAATGCTTACAGTAGAAAGTACTAACATAGCTAATAAGTATGTAGGTCGTCTGCCACTTTGCAAACATGACGACAAAATGTACACTAATAACTTGTTTCATGCTTGAGTTGCTGACATGGTAGTTGCTATATGTGTGCCTACATGCTTAAGTCAATGTTAAGCCCTTCGTATTTACTATTACAACCAACCATTTAATTTAGGACAATTGTGAGAGAACATGTATTCAACAGTTCAGGGAAATAATTTTTATCTGGTCAATGTGATAAGATGTGGTTTCACATATGCCTGAATGATGAAATCAATGTTGTAAGAAACTAAAATGCCATATTATTTTGTGACCTCAGTTCATTCTTTTTGGATCTTGCATTGGAATTCATTACATGTTATCCTTGATAATGCTATTATAGTCATTCAAGTGCATGAACGTTCTCTTCTCAAACTATTTTAACATTCAGAAAGGTACTTTTATTTGGTTGTTATTACAGGTTGGGCTACAAGTTTATCTGCTGGGGAATCAGACTGGACTGATGAGTTCTCTTTCTTTAAAGTGGGTATTGATTTGACTGATGCTGGTCAAGGTACTTGTTTTTCCGTGTTGAACCTTAATATGTTACCAAACCCTTATTTGTTCCTCCGCTAACAGTAGTTTTAATTGCGTGAAGCTGAAGGTGGGATTTTTCCTGAACTTTATGTGGGATATTGATGTTTATGTCCATTATTTATTTCCAGAGCATTTTGAAGACATTATGGGTCTGCTATTCAAATATATTCATCTCCTACAACAGGCCGGTGGCTGCAAATGGATATTTGAAGAGGTATTGTTAGTTGCATCCTCGTGCATGCCAGTCAATGCCTTTATAATTTTTCATGACTGCATTATATGTCATTTGCATCTATTATGCCAATAACTTTTTTATAGATGATTTAATGAACAGGTTTAATGTACATAATTAGTATGTATGAATCCTTAATTTGAAAAGAAAATTTTCTTTGTTGGTTTAAGCATGTGAAGCCAAAGTTCTTAATAATTACCCCTTACGCCTCCTTATTTTTTGTTGCTGGAAACAGAAAAAATGAACTCCCAGTTCATACTTTCGACTTCGTACCTGCCATCCAAAATGAGCTTAGGCCATGCCACCGCATCTCTATCCTTACTATCTTTATATTCATGCAAAGTTCTTAAAATTTTCACGAACCAGAATTTTCTCAGTCAGATTTCTAAAGAGAAGGAAGAGCTTCTTATTCTAAAATGGAGGGTCACTAATGGGTTAGTCCCAGAAAGGAATAATGTTACATTGCATGTACAATATTCCGCATGTTATCAATGCGGTTAGGATCCCTATCAGATAATACCGCATTATCCTCCTTGTTCATTCCATTTTAGCATGATAGATTGCATAAGTATGATTGACCCAAAAAATAGAGCTTTAGCTCTCTACCATAGTCATCTCTTCTCCAATCTTGCTTTTGTAAATTTCCTTTGTTAATCTTGGCACGTAACATGACCAGGTTTTTTCCTGGCCTTCTTTTTCTTGTTGCGTCTTAGTCATTATTGCTCTTAATGAACTTACGTCCTTCTTAATATGTTATTATTTATTCTAATTAATTTATCGTTAAAATTTGTCTATTAAGCTTTCAGCTATTTGTGAGACTGCCTTCCACTACCAAGACAAGATTCGGCCGAGTGATTACGTGGTTAATGTTTCAATGAATATGCAGGTATCTTTTAACATATGTTTTTATTTTTATTTGGATTAGTGTATCTACGCCAAGTATATTTACTCGATTGAGACCAAAGGGAAGAAAATATATATGCAGTTTCTTGGAGTCATCAATGTTTTATAGCTGAAGGCAGACCGTCATAACTACCAGTTGTGTGTTGTATGCATAAATTTTCCATGGAAAATATTTTCCTGGACAATGAGTGAGAAAACCACTTATTTTCCAGCTATTGGTAGGCGAGTGAATTTTTTTGGGAAAAGTTTTATATCTTTATGTATTATATGTCATTTATGCACAAAATATGTACGTGGATAAAGTAGACAATGGTTGTTAAGTTTTTCAGTTTTGACTTGGCAACTTTTGGTAGAATATTGGCATTGAAAGAACAACCTAATAAGTTTGTGATGTTACTTGTCAGCACTATCCTCCAGAAGATTGGTTGGTTGGATCCTCTTTGCCTTCAAAGTTTAATCCTAGCGTCATTCAGTCATTCTTGAATGAACTCAATCCAGACAATGTCAGGTTAGCTACTCTTTCCCAAAGAGTTAGCCTGCATATAATTTAAGTTACCAGTTTGCACAGTTTTTTTATTTTTGGGAAATCTGAAAGTGGAAGGTATATAAGGACCTCAATGAAATTTGGTTCTGAACAGAATCTTCTGGGAGTCGACAAAGTTTGAGGGTAATACTAGCATGACTGAACCATGGTATGGAACTGCGTATTCTATAGAGAAAGTTAATGGTGCCACTATCCAGGTCTGATGACAGCACTCTCTCATTAAATAAGTCTTGAATTGTTATATTGTTATTGCAGAGACCAAAATAATTTATTTAAACATTTGCTGACAATTACTTTTGCAGCACTGGATGGAGCAGGCCCCCAGTGAAGAGCTGCATCTCCCTGCTCCCAATGTGTTCATACCAACTGATTTATCACTTAAGCCTGTCTTTGAGAAGGTGCTAATTTGGAACTTATTTATTACTCCATCCGTTTCATTTTAAATGACATTCTTTCCTTTTTAATCTGTTCCAAAAGAGTGATACCTTTTTTATTTGAGAACTCTTTATCTTTAAAACTTCCATTTTACCTTTTTTCTTTTTTAAACTCCATGTCCGATTAAACACCGTCATGTAAAGTAAAATGGAGGGAGTATAATTTCAATGTCATGTCTTTTCTTATTTGTAACTTGTCAAACAGACAAAAGTGCCAGTACTGCTGCGGAAGTCACCTTATTCAAGGTTATGGTATAAGCCGGATACAGCATTTTCATCTCCAAAAGCCTATGTTATGATCGATTTTAGTTGCCCGTACTGTGGACATTCTCCAGAAGCTGAGGTTCTTACTGAGATCTTTACACGTCTATTGATGGATTACTTGAATGAATACGGTATGTCTGCAAGATTGTTGACTAGTTATGCACTGCAGGACAACTCTTCTACTATTAAGCTGGACTTAACATCTTCGTGTTAATATGTTTTTCATTCACTTCTTCATATCGTCAATATATTATTTGCAATGTCAATTTTGCGCTTTTCCTCCATAAGGTATAACACTTCTGTAAATCTCTCTTTTTGCTTCTTTCAGCTTATCATGCACAAGTCGCTGGTCTTTATTATGGTATAAACAAAACAAACAATGGTTTTCAGGTGATCATCTTGTTTCCTGTCTCTATGTATACAAACTTTTGAGGAGCGTTGTTTATCTTGTTATTTTGTGGTTGTCTAATCTTTTCTTTTTTCAAGTTTAGTCCTTCCATGCATAAAATGAATATTCGCTACATCCATTAAACCCATATTTGTTTGCTTTCCTAAAGTAAACTTCTTTCCTGCTGGCCCAAAGATATTTAGTTTTTTGATGCCGTGAAAACATGAACTATCTGCTTCATCCTGTCTTCTTGAAGTGAACTGACAGTGCTGCTTCATTGTCTGTTAAGCTTCTTGCATTTGCTGTGGCGTTTGAATAATTCTTAAAGTTAGACCTGAATATGATACTATCTATTTTTCCTTCATTTGTTCCCCCTCTCATCCTCTCTTTTCTGCAGTTGACATTATTTGGATATAACGACAAGTTAAGAGTCTTACTGGAAGCAGTTGTTGAGAAAATCGCAAAATTTGAAGTAAAACCGGACAGGTTCTCTGTGATCCAGGTGAGTGTCAGCAATTTTTTCTGCTTATCCACACTCTGCAAGAATGCATAACTCGTCAAGCCAAAATGTTACCCCGTGGCAGTTGGCTTTAACATTATGGATCCTAGTATGCCATAGTCTAGGCTAGATGAACAATGATAACTTAAGCAGAGAATGCAAGAAAATTCTGAAGATTCATTTTCTCAACAAAGTTTCCACTGTTCACAGCTAAAAATTCCGAACCATTTCCTCATGTAATCAATAGCAAAGTCTTCATTTCAAGTTCCCATTTCACTTACTTTTTCTCTCATCAAATCCTTTTCTCAAAGTGTTGTTAGAGTTGCAGTCGGGCACTTATCACTTCATTTGGTGTTTTTAAAGAGAAAATTTATTGTCAAATTATTGGTTTATTTCATCTATCTAGTCTGCTTTTTGGTACTATTGTGTGCATCAACATGTCTGCTAGTTATCTCTACCTTCAATTTAAATTGGTCTTCATTGTACCATACATACTGATGAATCATGATTATTTATAATTGATGTATCACTCTGAAGTTTTTCAGTCACCTCATTCAAGAGAATGTTGTGTTGTATGATCAGTGGCTTCTTTTCCCGTTGCTTAATATGTTCCCACGGCGTTATAAATGACATAACACCTGTAAGTAGGGGAGCGCTACTCTGCGGACTTGCAATTCTCTTGTTCCATGTATGCACTAGTATGTATATGAATACACACACAGACATATATACTTTTGACCTGTTAACTTGTTTGAATAGATTATTATGTTGAACTTGCTAGACAAGTATTCAAAATAATACTTTGAAACATAATAAGGTGGAACAATTAGTAAAAAGGTGTCTCCTCAAGCTTGAAATAATGTAATCTATATTTCTTATAATTGTCAGAGATACGATTTTGCCATTTTAAGAAAGAGTTCATTTTGCCTGGACGAGCCAAAAAAGGGAAGTAGGTCCTTGTTTTTGGGATCGAAGGAGTAACATACAAATTGATTTTCTTTCTTTAGTTCCTCCACTTTTTCTTGTGATTATGTCGTGCTGTGTTAATTCAAAAGAAACAAATAGGAGATTATACAAGTCATTTTTCTATTTTTGGGTCCTTTTACGTGAATTTGCTTTTGGTCATCTAGATGTGAGAAGTTTCGGTCACCATTACCTGCGATATTGGTTTGTCTGTTCTCTCCGTAAGGTCACCATTACCTGTGATGTTGCCCAGCCTTTTAGATTTTCTATTGTTCAGGGTCCATGTTTACTCATGAATTTTACTATTTGTCTTTATTTCTTCCTTCTTAATCTCTTTCTATTTGCTAATCAAGAGCATAAACACTATTTGCTTCTTGTTCTCTTTTTGTTTATAGGAATTAGTGACAAAGCAATTTCAGAATTACAAGTTCCAACAGCCATATCAGCAGGCTATGTATTACTGCTCATTACTGCTGCAAGAAAACACATGGCCTTGGACTGATGAACTTGAAGTTCTTCCACATCTTAAAGCGGACGATCTGGTTAAATTCTATCCACTTTTGCTGGGGAGGTCCTTTCTAGAGTGCTATGTAGCAGGTAACTTTTCTCAATGACTGTTTTAAGTTATTTTCGTTCTGCATCTCTAACTTGTGATTTTCACTGCTCTTCTCAGGAAACATTGAACAAGCTGAAGCAGAGTCCATGACCCAACTTATTGAGGATGCGTTCTTCAAGGGTCCGCAGCCAATATCCAAGCCTCTATTTGCATCTCAGCATCTGACAAACAGAGTAGTTAATCTTGAAAGAGGTGTAAATTACTTCTATGCTGCAGAGGGCCTAAATCCAAATGATGAAAATTCTTCTCTCCTTCATTATATTCAGGTACATCTTGGGTTAATGGAATGTGCATGGAATGAGAGGCTAGAACTAGGAGGCTATTCCTCATATGTACATAGGCCCGTAGAGACTTTACCAATTGATCTGCAAGTTTTTTTTTGTACATATGGTTATTCTTTTCTGAATGGAAAAGAAGCATGCTCAATGCATTATTAATGAATTGTGTTATCAGACTTTTCCTGGTTCTTTGCTTCTTAAACAATTTTGCTTGAGTTTCCAGGTGCATCAGGATGATTTTATGCTGAATGTCAAACTCCAGCTTTTTGCTCTAATAGCAAAGCAGCCAGCCTTCCACCAGCTTAGATCAGTTGAACAACTTGGTTATATCACCGTCCTCATGCAGAGGTATATAATGTTTGTATTACTGAATACTGTTTGGCAAGTTGTTTGCTGTTCATCTTTAAAGCTTCTATTTTACCTAAACTTAACTACAACTCTCTCTCTAGGAGTGACTCTGGTGTTCATGGGGTGCAGTTTATCATTCAGTCAACTGCAAAGGTAAGGGGTTTTATTATAGATACTGTCGCATGAAATGAGATCAGGCATTTCTCTTGAGTATGGCTTATGATCAATCTACTGGCTGTTTGGCAGGATCCCAAATACATTGACTCAAGAGTGGAGTTATTTCTGAAGATGTTTGAGAGCAAACTTTATGAGATGACTAGCGATGAATTCAAGGTGAGCTTAGTAACACTTTTTACTTTTTCTCCAATGAAAAGAACTTGTAGCAACTGATTCAGTACAAGTATTCTCAGGAAGATCCAGTAATCTGTCACTCGTTTAATCTTAGGACTATGTTCTTAAGGATAATCCTTATCCACAAAATTGACCACTTCATTGGCTCCTTCATTTGACTCGGCCACGTCACTTGACACGTGGCACTAACTTTGGCCTTTTGGATAAGATGACATCCAGTTGACCTTGGATTAATAAAGTCGGTCCATTATTATTAGCCCAATTAAATGGTCTAACCCAATGAAATAGGACTTTTTATTAAATCAATATATGTTGGACATAAATAATTAATCTGATTATATTATCCAACAATATTTACTTGGGACTAGTATGGTTTGAATTTAGGACATAATCCAAGTTCCTTTTATATTTTAATCCATTCAAATTTAAATATCTACTATTACAAAGTGTCTTTTAAGTTAGATATTGTCCCATGTTGACAATATCTTATGTCTAATGTGTTTGACACCTATAAATAAGTGTAACTTGTATTTTCATCATTTCTCTTTTCTAAATCCTCACATAGTTTTTTTTTGTTGTTGTTGTGTGGTTCGACAATTACTGATAGAGAGGTTTCTGGACATAGCAGTTAGCAGGGAAAGTTCAAACTCATAGTTCTCAATTTTATCGAGTATTATTTCATTTACCTATGTACTGAACCTCACTTTTTTCCCTTTTTTTTCCGTCAGTAAATATATCCATAGCTGATAAGTCATATAACTTTCAAGTCAGGTGGCAAGTAAATACAGTTCTGGTTCTGTAATTATCTTTTTCTATACCGTTTTTTAATTTTGACATCTAAAAGATAATTTTCAACTAAAACATTCCCGATTGTGTACCTAGCTAGCTACTGTTGCTGATTGATCAATAGAATACAATGCAATATAGGTTTTGTCAAAGTATCATGTCTGCAGTACATGCTGGGTTAATATTTTCTGTATTATACGTGGGTAATTTTCCAGTATAGCTTTCTTGTCCCTAACTTTTATCCGTTTATGACAGAGCAACGTGAATGCACTTATTGATATGAAGCTTGAGAAACACAAGAATTTACGGGAGGAATCTCGATTTTACTGGAGGGAGATTTCAGATGCGACCCTCAAATTTGATAGAAGAGAACGTGAGGTATGAAGATTGTTATTGTCTCTCAAGCTCAATTTCATTTCATGAGCTTGATAAGTGATAATATTCCTAATGCTTTATGTTTTGCTTTTGCACAAAATGACACTGAAAAAGGTCAAATCTATCCAAGTACTATATGATACGACCCTATTTAACAACAACAACAAAAAACCTAGTGTATTCCCACAAGTGGGATCTTGTACGCAGACCTTACCCCCTACCTTTAAAAAGGCAGATAGGCTGATACGACCCTATTTGTTAAAAAATATCTTCTGAAATATCATGACAGCTGAAAGAAATTGAGAACATTCCCATAATCGTAGGGAAAAAAGAAATTGAGAACATTCCCATAATCGTAGGGAAAAATGTATCTAATCATTTTGGTGATATTGGTGAAACAGATTGAAGCACTGAAGCAATTGACGCAGAAGGAGCTGACTGATTTCTTCGACGAATATATAAAGGCTGGTGTACCTCAGAAGAAGGCTTTAAGTGTCAGAGTCTATGGAAGCTCACATTCTTCTCAGTTCCAAGAACATAAGAATGAGCAGATCGAACCAAATGCAGTTCAAATAGAAGACATATTTAGCTTTAGACGATCTCGGCCTCTTTATGGTTCATTTAAAGGAGGCTTTGGTCATGTGAGATTGTAAGAGGGTAAACGTAGCAGCTTTGGATGCTATATATGGTCAAGAGAAGCCTCTTGAATGGAGTTGATATGTTGCGTTAGCGAGTCCATCAAAGAGTAGTTGATCTGCAAAATAGTTCTCATATTTAGTTGTGTCAATTGCTCAACTGATTTGATGATGGATTGCTTAGAGATTTGGACAAGTAAATGTACTCATTGTAACATTAATACTATTTTGATTGNAATGTACTCATTGTAACATCAATTCTATTTTGATTGCTGAATAAGATGTATTAGAAGACAATAAGAGGCATGTATGAAACCTGAAACGGTAAATATTCATTCATGTTTTTTATAGGAAGATTAAACTACATTATATTTTAGTTTGTTTGTTACTTAAATTTTCTTATTTTATCAGTGTATTGAGGGCCCCTTTGGGTTGTCAAATATGCTACTAAAAGAATAAGGTCTTTTTGATTATGAAGCGATAGACGATTGTTATACTTTTGCTTTTTAGAGATTTATGTATCGGATTGGTAGAGTTGAATATATGCCAATCGGGTAGACTTCGATGAATATATTTGAATAGCAAACTCATAATGTCTTCAAAATGCTCTGGAAATAAATAATGGAGATATGAGTTCAAACTAATCTAGGGAATGCTCTCGGCGCACGATTAGCTGGATTTGCTAACGTACACCAGGAACAATGCCCCGACGCCCGAAAAAATGCTATTCGGGCACAGATACAACCAGAAGTTTTGGCTGCACCAGAAATGGAGACCCAAACTCAAAGAACACTAATAACATTTGGAAGCTTTCTTCCTCCAATGTTAACGATTGTGGAAGAAATTGAGGAATCTGAGATCCCAGCTGACGGAGGACGAGATGAACAAACAAAAGGGATTTCTACAAGCATCAAGGAGGAATTAGCAGCTCGCCGACACCAATTCTTTGTAGCAATAGCCTCTGAGCGGTCAACCCCTGCGGATGAAGGTAGGAACAATCGGAACACTCAAATGGGTAAGGCTCTCACCTATGTTCCACCAATTACTAGGGATGGGAAAATCACTGTTAAAATTGAGGAAACAGACATTAAAGCTCATGAGAGATGTCATGGGATGCTTTCCAGACACGCCCCATGACCCCTTGGCCGTGCCCCATGGCGGCCTAGCAAGCCTCACAANGGCAGATCATGATGCCTCGCCACCACCCAGCTGCAGGCCCATTCCAGCAGCGCCTCGCGCCCAGACCCTAATGCCAAGCACCAGCGCCCAGCCTCAGGCCAACACATCAAATATCGCGCGCGCCCACATCAACACGCGCGCAGACCCTGACCCGCAAGACAAAGTTGCTGCCATCGGACTTAGTTCTACCTTGTAATAAACTAAGTCCTTTTCATTGTAATCATAGGCTAGTTTACATCATTTCAATTTCAGTGTGCTTCTACAGCTTTATTAGGACTAGTCATGTAATGTTAGTTTATTTTTTTAAGCATTATTAAGGGGGACCAAACAATCAATCATTTTTCTGGTGTCTCTCCCCCTCGACACCGCATCTTTATAATCAGCATTTTCAGTCATCAATAAAATCATCATCATCATTCAAAACCCAATTCTCTCTCAGCTTCCGCAATTGCTCATGACATTGGTTTTCCCGCACG